ACAACATATAGCGGGATTTCCAAGTCTTCTGTAAACAAAAAGTCATGCAATATCTATGCGTATCAAAAGGCGCTGTCAGTGGCAACAAAGACACCAGATGGTGGCATGAACGTACCAAAGAAGAATTAGAAACCAAGAAATCTCCCTTCAAGAAATGGCAAGAGATGAAACACGACGATGACCAGACACATGCAAAGAAGAACGCAAAACGAGCCGTAGCCCAAGCGAAGGCCATATCAGACGACGATTTCTATGCTAAGTTGGAAACTGCTTCAAATGACAAAGAGATCTTCAAAATAGCAAAGCAGAGACTTATGAACAGCATGGATATAAAATCCACAAAGTACATAAAAAACGATGGGTACACTGCTTACAACAAACGTGGATATCAAAGAACGGTGGAAAGAGTACTACAGCAAGTTGCTTAATGAAACCTTTCCAAGCGAAGATGCCAATGAAGGCCTAATACGTTGTATATCAACCAGAGAAGTCCATCTGGCAATTAAAGGCAAGGCTAACAACAAAGCCCCCGGACCCGATCATATCCCGTCTGAACTATGGAAGAAATTACGGAGCACCGGTGTTATGTTCCTCACAAAACTCTTCAACGCAATTCTGATTGACGGCATGCCCGATGAATGGAGGAAAAGTTACCTGATCCCGTTTTTTCAAGAACAAAGGTGATATTAGACTATGCGGAAACTACAGAGCAATTAAACTGATTTCACACACGTTCAAGATATGGCAACGTGTCGTCAGTAGAAGATTGCTCCAACTTAGCACCGTGACTGAAAATCAGTGTGGTTTCGTGGCAGGCAGATCAACAACTGATGCTGTGCATTCAATCAGAGTATTGATGGAGAAACATAGGGAGAGCAAAACCGACCTTCACATGGCATTCATCGATCTCGAAAAAACTTTCGATCGCGTTCCAAGATAGCTTATCTGGCATGCTCTAAGGGCACAAGGAGTATCAGAGTATATGATCAGACTATATGAATCTGATAAAAGGTATGTATCATAATGTTACAACAAAAGTACGATGCCCAACTGGAGTAGGTGATGAGTTTCATGTGGGAGTGGGAGTTCATCAAGCCTCGGCAATGAGCACTTTGCTTTTCAATCTCGTAATGAACCACCTCACGGCAGAACTACAACGCTCTCCACCATTGGACATTCTATACGCTGATGACATCGTCCTCATTAGTGAGGATTCCAATGGTTTGCAACACACACTAGAAAAATGGAGAGGAGCACTCGAAAGAGTCGGATTACGAGTAAGTAGAGAGAAAACCGAACATATGTATTGCAATTTCAGCGGCACTAATAACGGAAGCCCTCTTTATCTTCAAAACACCCCACTTAAACAAGTCGACCATTTCAAATACCTCGGTTCAATCATTTGTAATGATGGGACGATAGACGCAGACGTTACCCATCGTATAATCACGGGATGGATAAAATGAAGAGAGCTGTCAGGCGTACTCTGTGATAAACGAATGCCGGTTCGTACTAAGGGCAGAGTATACAAAGCAGCAGCCATGATGTGCGGCGCTGAATGTTGGCCTCTCAAAAAGCTGCAAAAAAGTGGAATATACAGCGCGGAAATGAGAATGCTAAGATGGGCGGGCGGCGTTACAAGATTAGACCACGTCAAAAATATCCATATCAGAGGCAGTTTTAAAGTGAAACCTATCCCGGAAAAGTTGCAAGAGAGCCGACTTAGGTGATACGTCCGTACCACGACGACGACGACGTTATGCGACGACCGCCTGATCATATAACAAGAAAAGTCCTTGACGTGAGAAGCCAGCCCAAGGGACGTGGTAGACCCCGTGTCACATGGATATCCCTTATTAATAAAGATCTGCGAGAGCACCAGTTAGGACCACAGACGACCCAGGACAGACTGTCTTGGAGAATAGTGACCAGAAGGGCCGACCCCAAATAAATGGGAATAAGGCCAGGCAAAAGAAGAAGAAGAGAAAAGAAAAAATATTTAATACATCTGAGTCAACAGTCACATGAAGATTTGGAACATCACATGCTCCAATATAGTCTTAAAACAGATTTGGGGATGGGGTATGCCTTTACAAAGTAAGTCTCTTTTGTTCAATTTGTTAACATCCCTTGGTTGATTTTCCTTCTGTGTGTTATCCAAGAGATCATTATCGTCCTCTCTAAATTAATTTTTTAATTTGAACTCTTCTTTTTTAAGAAAGTCATTTCCTGGAAATTTTCAAGTAATTTTTGGCAAACATTGATAAGGGCCCTCTTTTAAACTCTATTACTTTCCAACTTTGTAAATTTCAGGCTTTAATAAATAATACCTTCCCGTCTTTGGTAAACAACCAAAAATTTCGCCTGACTACACCATAGATGGCATATGATGACAATTGTATCATAATCATTCAGCCATATAACGCCGACTGCTGGGCATAGGCCTCCCCCAACGATTTCCACAACGATCGATCCTGCGCTGCCCGCATCTATCGGTTTCGCGCGACCTTTACCAGATCGCCGGTCCACCTGGTGGGGGGCCTACCCACTGAACGTCGTCCGGTGCGCGGTCGTCATTGAAGAACCTTTCCGCTCCAACGGTTCTCCTGGCTATGTGTCCCGCTGACTGCTACTTCAGCTGAGCAATTCTTCGAGCTATATCGGTTACCTTAGTTCTCCTACGGATTTCCTCATTTCTGATTCTATCACGTAGGGAAATACTGAGCATCACTCTCCGTTGCCCGCTGAGTGACCTTGAGCCTTCTTATGAGGCCCATAGTGAGGGACCTCGTTTCTGATCCATGTTTTTTTTTTATAAAAAATAAGTGCGCATTTGACCTCCGTCTTACCTGATGAAAAGTGATGATGAGGTCGACGATGTAGCATGCACACCTAAATAATGCCTATTCACTCTCACCTTGAAAAGATCCAAGTTATAGCGTTCGGGGCACAAGTCCGCAGGCAGGGAATTCCACTCTCTAGCCGCTTGTCATATAAATGTGGAAGCGAAACACTTCGTGCGAATCCTGAGTATATCCACAACATAGGGGTGGACCCCCAGCCCACATCTAGTTCCCCGATGATGGAAAGGAGAAGGCGGAATCAAATTATGCAATTTCATTATCCTGTACAATACCGATAAGCAGGCAATTTTACGGCGGTGTTCGAAGCTCTGTAGCTTGGCCTCTACTAATTTCGAGTCACCTATAATCCTCTTGCCACGCTTGTCTATTAAATCCAAAGTGGCCAATTGGTATTTAGCAGAGCCTAAGTGGCAGCAGTACGCCATGCACGACCGGACTTGTGCTTGGTACAGCTGAAGCAACAGTCCTGGCTGCATTTTTGGCCATGGATTCAATGTATCTGCCGAAATTCAGATTGAACGACAGGTTCATTCCAAGTAGCTAGAGACGGTCGGCTATCGGTATGGATACATCACGAAAAGTCGGAGTCAGGTGAAAGGGACTACGTTTTGTGGAGAATAGACACGCTTGCGTTTTGGTACCATTAAATTTGACAAGATTGGCATCGCTCTAATCGGAGACTTACTTGACAGTCAAATTCAAACCACTAATGCCTCTCGACAAGACTGGATTTCTTCTTCACGGACCATTGCATTGGTCAAGTACCTGTCCACAACTGTGCTGTCATCAGCATAATCAAAGGTATATGAGGATCTATCACCCGACGTTCGGAAGAGTAGCCTTCTAAGACCACTCGAATCTAACGTTCACTCAAGAAATCCGAAATCGAGTTGCAAATGTATCTCTTGTATCAGGTGCTGCATAAATATTGGGATGTTTATTGTCAGTAAAATAGTTACCCCTTAGAACACTTTGTACTGCTTCAGCGTTTGCAAAAAGAGTATTTTGCAAACGTGAATGTCATTTAACTTCCACTGCAATATATTAGAAAGTTGCGTTGTGTACGAGATGTAGGAAAAAATAAATCAATCTTGATATAAAGTTGCGACACCTTTGTAAAATAAAAAGTGGACTGTGTTTGCAATAGCGCTGGTAATTCTCAATTACGTCTCAATTAGATAAATTGGTTTGCAACTAATACAAATGTAGAAAGGCCGACCGGCACCGGTTACTGTCGAGAAAGCGAGTGCGGCTGGGCCACTGCCGTCTGTCGTGACGTCACGTTGGGCTGTGTCGTCCTTCCGAGCGTGTATAGGACCGGTTCGCAACACTGTCCACTTCTCAAAATTTCCTCCAAATTTCTTCTTTATCTGTCTGCGTTATTTTCCCTATAGAATATTTCTTATATTCACGAGGAGTTAAGATCGCATGCTTCTTTTTTTGATTTTCTTACACAGTTGATGGATTTCTAGCTCTCTTTACTGATCTTCTGGTGCTTGATTTCAGATGACTTATCCTTTTAATTCATTAAAATAACTGTACAAGTCGTAGTCCATGATGGGTGTGTTGTAGAATTAAACGCTTGTGTAGTTCGTATTTTTGGTTTTTCAGTCAGGGGAGTATCGATCTCTACAATACCTACTACATTTGTAGACGATGAAGATATGTTACCACGATGAGATATCTTTATCTGATATCTCTCATCTTTTTTCTGACAAGGATTCGACGTTTTCGTACATGTCATCGTTTCACAAATTATTGGAATTTCTCTTTCGATAGCTAGTGTCTGTTGCATAACAACAGATTGAATGTCATTGCAGGAACATACAGATAAATCGGGGGGGCTTATCAATCAGCTTAATCGTGTGTTTCGCAGGCGCGACTAACTCGCAATTAACGATTGGAATTATATTTTCTGAAAATGTTTGCCGTTCATTTGCTACTGTTACAGAAGACTCTTGACTATGAACATAAAATTCGATTGAAAGACGATTGTTTTTATTTCGCGTTTTATACGCGATTTTAAATTTATTGTTACCCCTGACAAAAATTACAATTCTTCTTAACAAAATTACATTTGCATAACTATATTATCACGTTAGCGTCATATTAAGAATGTTACTTTTTTAAATTTACCTCAAACAGAGCCTACGTTTACAGGCGCATGTGACTTTAGGCCTTACGATCTAAAATCTGCAACAATAATTTAATTATTTAAATATAGGCTAATGCCTATATTTGCCATATATAAATAGTGGTGGTAAAAAATATTATAAATATTTACGGGCGGTGGTAACCACTTTTCAGCAAGTGAACTATCTAACTGTTTGCTAGTTTGAATATCACAAATTAAAAACAAATATTTCTTACAACTATTTTCTAATATTTATTTTGAAAACTTATGTATATTGTTAATTAAAACAATTATAACAGTCTAGAAATTCAGCCGCTCACGTTTCTGAACGAGATAATTTAATTTGGGTACAGATAAAGCAATAAAATATTTAAAGGGCATTAATGTTACCTCTATACTATCGGTCGTTGCTGTAATTAGAAAAAAATACATTATTTTTTATGTATTCCCATGCAATACCGGTTTAACTGTTGATTTGTAAGGAAGTGAAGAAATTTGAAGACAATTCTAAATACTTCAAAAAAAAATACAAATTTCGTGTCAAAAGATTTTCTGGGTTTCGCATATTACCGTTTTTGGGGCAATAATATTTTGGAATATTGCATGAAAATCGAGTTTAATTTTCACTCACATTTGTGTCTCATTGGCCGCCTGTGAGGCATGCAAACGCTGAACATTCAGTTTTTCTTGCCCTCACAAATTAGATTTATACAAATATGAACATACCCATCCTCTCAATCTCCGCATCTCTTGGTGTTCGCCAGAGAACTGTTCGCATCAAATATTTGTAATTCGGCTTGGGAGGCGTGAAAAAGGGTATTCTCAATTTAGTCTCCGGCTCTTGGTTAATTCTTCGCCCATCTGTTCGGTGCTTCTTGTTGTTTATTTTCGGCGACACTGTTAAGTGAAATATGTTATTTAAACGGTTAAAATAAGTCTTTTTAATAGATTGGGTTACCTAACTTTTACGCTTTCTGCTGTAAAAAATATGTGAATTTTGTTAAACGACATACGCAGAACGTCAATTATGTGAGGTGGTTAGATAATGTTCTGAATTAGTACTTTCATTGTGCAGCGTGAATTTGAAAAAGATTTCAAACGTCCCATATTAACAAATACATACAAAGTGCAGGACCGGCATTAGAATCATACTTTAAGTCCACTGTACTTGTTAATAGATCACTTGAGTGCACAACCACGACCACGCGTCATTTAAGAACTGTAAATATTTCCGCTTATTGGGAGTCGAGAATACCTCAGCTCGAATTTCATTTTTTCCCGAGCTAATATGGTTGATTTTGCTTGGGCCGAGGGGCAGACGCACTGGCTTTATTTTAGAATTTATTTTTTTACAAACGAAATTGTAGCCATTAGAAAAATGTATACTATATAGTACACGTGTTCTATTTAATTCAGTTGATTTAAAAAAAAGTCATTGATACATATAAAGTATCTGTATTATACAGTGAAAGTTTTTAAGAATCGTGTTTTCACACGGTATAGTGATTAGTGCATATCCTCAATTTTACTATATATGTTTTCCAAATTGATTGTTTCAACACTTTCACTGTTATGCGCAATCAACAAAAGCCATTTTGAAGTTGTATTAACTCTTATGTCCACTGTATTTATTAATAAATCTCAGTTGAGTACACGACAATTTAAGAATTGTAAATATTACCGCTGATTAATGAATGTAACCTAGCACTTAAGTTACGTAGTAAATTAATAATCTTTTCTTAATAATGATTGAATCGTGTGAAGGCCGCTCAACACTTGGCTCATCGCTGTTACAAAGCTAATCAAATGCAATGTTTATTACTTGAGAAGGTATGATTAAAGATGCTGATGATTATTGCTTATTAATACAGGAGAGCTTGAGGTCTTTAGATCTCAATCTTTGAGATCTCAGGCCCGTAATATTAAAAAGCACATTTCTAAGCTACGTCATGAACAGGGATCCGTGAAGGGATTACAAATAATACATTGCTAGAAGATTTTCTTATGAATTACATTTTTTTTAATGTCGTTATTAGATATTAGTACAGTATTTCATTTGGCCTAGTAAACAAAGAAATAACTAAAGGAATACGTAACGTACAAGCATCTGAGAAACTTACCTCGTCCTGTAAGAGAGATGTAAATTAAACATAAAGTGTTTATATAATTTCGTCTAAACCTAGTTTACAGCAAGTTTGCTGGGGTAATCCATTCCACAAAATAATTGCTTGTGCTAGGAGACCCCGCTGTTCCATGTTAGGGTTCTATGTGACCAGGTAAGTTACGACTAGTTAAGTTACAGGTACTATATAATGAACTAAATTAGAATTACAAAGAGAATAATGTTAGTTGTGTGTGTGTGTGTGTGTGTGTGTGTGTGTGTGTGTGTGTGTATGTGTGTGTGTGTGTGTGTGTGTGTGTGTTTGTGTTTGCGTACATTTGCAAAATATGTAGAATTACAGTATATCTATTATAAGATCTCCATAATGGATTCAGTTTCTTCATAATTTAAAGTCTACAGCCACACATATACAACTTTTTTACAATCGTGGGTCTTTAAGGGATAAATCAAGAGATTTTTTAATAATTTTAGTGTACAGATAAGATGCACGTCTGTTAAATTGTCTACCAGCAAAGGTTGTTTTTACAGTATCGCTGGGAATCACATAATTGCATCTCCTTTTTTTCACTACGCAAGGGTCTTAACTTGACTTGACTTGAAGACTTGAGTTTTGTGGATCCTTAAAATCACCAAAAGTATATATAATTTTCGCACTGACAGGAATTTGGCAAACTTATAGAGGTCATCAGTGGGATATCTATCGGGTTTGAAAGATATTACCTTCTATAGTGATTTCTTCTCTTTCTAAATGTATGAATTTCGAAAGGCAATATAGATTTTTGTTAACAGTTCTTTATTTGCAGAGTGCCGGAAAGTTTTAAAAATGCAGATCGACTTCCTGATTCAGCTAGTATGTTAATTTATACCAAGAAATTAAAAGGCATAACATGGGAGGAAGGCCTAAGGTAACTTAAACTCTGAAGTACGAAAAAATAATACGTATCGAGAGATCACCCTAAATTGGATCCGCTTTTTTATACTGCTTTGATAACAGGTACCAGGCTGTTTGTCATGAAATGTCATCTTTAAATGCAGAACGTCAAGGCAATCTTCTTTTATTGCTAGATGGCGTTGTACGTTACGGCGACATTTAGAAAGTCCTGGTGCAACAGTTGCCGCCTCGTTTATTTCTGACGCCAAACAATAATGTGAAAAAAATAGTCGCGAAATGACTTCTCAGGCTCCGATTTTAAGGAGGGTTGGTGTCGACACCAAGAGTCGTTAAACGTCAATGTAGTCTCCGCCGTAGTGAGCACAAGGGTTGCATCCTACATTAAGCTTTTTGAGACAGCTACTCAGCGGAGTTTACATATTTTACAGAAGCTATATTACTTTTAGTCTACTTCCAAACGAGAAGAAGGTTTTTTGTATGACTTCATCCAAAACATTATGTGTTTTTCCATATAAATATCAATATAGGATGACAAAGTATAAAAATGCAATAAGTTTGGGCTCACAATATTGCCGCTTTCAACCTTTAAAAATATTATTTATTAGACTCAGTCGTATTACTGCTCAAGTGGAAAGAAATGTTTGGACAGATTGACGCAAAATCCATTGTATCAAAACAGGAACCTGAGGAGTTATTAGTAGTCATAATCTCAGTACAGAATACAAAAAAAACCGACCTCAACAGTTCGTGTAACTACATCTATTTGCCAAGTTTCATTGAAATTAGTTACCGGTTTGTCCTCCTTAGAGGGGAATATTTACATCAAATTTAAATGGGAGTACTATTGAGGTACCCTCTTTCCAATAAAAAAATAATCATCAAAATCAATTCACAAAAAAACAAGCAGTCCAATTGAAAACATCCCCTTTTTTGGAGTCGGTTAAAAGGTAGTTGATCTACATTTCAGATTTAGCAACGCAAAACAGTGCAGGTGCTAAACAGACTATAAACATTAAACTAAAGTTAAGATTTAATAAACACCAAGATCAAAATAAACCTGTCAAGAGCGACCACTACATAATAAAGTCTATAGACATTTACAAGGCGCGTCTCAAATATATTGTGCAGCAAAGGTACGTACCGCTCTATCACGTTTTATTTTGACCTCTGCGAATCGCACATGAAACTGTGAGCTTGTGACATTTTGTTACACAAATATGTGTGAATAAGTGAGTTTTTCAAATGACACACATCATTGTCGGCCCGAAATTTCATCATTTTTTTAAATCAAACAGTTATAAAAAACGCTTCATATTAGGATGAAAAAATTATAACACTTTTCACTGTAACTTCCAACTCTGTGGTAAATTAATTATTTAGAACACCTGAAATTACATTTTTTTAAATTAATTAATTTAAATAACTTTTTTCCGTCTTTGTGATAAATTCCGTCCATTCGTACTAAAGAGGACAATGATACGGTAGCGCTGAGCGGTGGAGCGGTTAGACGATTGAGTCAATTTGACTTTATTAAAAGAAAACCGGGTGAGCAACTTGGTGTTCAAGCATTGAGAGTGTTTGCCAGATATGAGAATAGATAAGAGTGTATTTACTTAAACTCTCTTTTGAAAATCAGTGCTGGGAACGCATTGCGTTTTCCAGCAAATACTGAGTTTGTAACCCTTTAGTTACCTCCTTTGGAAGTGTCTTTGTTTATCTAAATAATCTGTGTTTAAATTTAAATTCTTGTTCTGCGATTGTTTTCATTTACGTCTTACGTGTGAATGTTTTTAATTTGTTTTTCTTACTTTCTTATTTGTGATAGTCAAATAAATGTATTTTTTTCTTGTTTCTTTATTTCTTCCTGAAATTATTCTACTACATTTTATTGCATACTTTTGATGTGTTATAAGCAATTTTCTGTAAGTTCGTATATTTAGAAGAAAAAAATTGTAAGTAAAAATATATTAATTTTCCTTCAATTTTTTTAATTAAATTTTCATTTAGGCATTTCAGAATTTCCGAAGTAGGTTTTATTCCCTTTTTACACCCTCTATGTGTATTGTATTGTATTATTGGTTGAATATGCCCCATTCATATGCCCCATTGTTACAAAGTCTTAGTCGATCCAGTCTTGGAATCACTGCAGACGTAGGAAATGAAACTATTTTTCTGGATTTAAATCGCGTATATTTGTTTTTTCAAACAAACCCAACGTTTCGGGCCCTTTACAGGTCCCATGGTCAAGGTTGACTGAGGTGGTACAGTCTTCAACCACTTATGTCTAATATTAATGCAAACCACCCTATTTTTTCACTATAGTTACAATAGTTATTAGATATAATAGTTATAAAATTAAAAATAAGGTATTTAATTAATAACTATTGTAACTATAGTGGAAAAAATAAGGTGGTTTGCATCAATATTAGACATAACTGGTTGAAGACTGTACCACCTCAGTCAACCGTGACCATGCGACCGGTAAAGGGCCCGAAACGTCGGTTTGTTTGAAAAAACAAATATACGCGATTTAAATCCGGAAAAATAGTTTCATTTCCTATGTGTAACAATCGCGAAAACCTAAGAACTCGATAAAGTTTCAAAATAAGCGACTTTTGTCGGTTGTAAAAAGTATTAATGAGACTTTCAGAATTTGTGGGGGAAAGAGACAAACATGCACGGCAGCCAACGTTCAGAAAACAAAAGGTACATCAAACCATTTGGTCCTCTGTAACCGTCGAGTATATAACCAGAATAGAGACGAAATGTCATTTAATTTGTTTGAAAACTATTATGCCAAATCATTACTGTGACAACTGCGTTCCGATTGGCCAGCTCGAATTCGAAACAATTGACGATACGCGTCAATTGTTTCACTTCAAA